ACAATATTATTTTAACATTTGACAAATGAAGGTTTGCATGAGCAGGATACATACTACTTTTATTATTTACACTACTATAGTTATTATATTCTGTTAGAAGTTAATATCTATTATGTATAGCACTTGCAAAAAGTACAGTACACATCTTATAGTCTAGTTCAGGGGGTGGGCCACATGCGGCCCCCATCAACCCTCAACGTGGCCCTCAGGTTAATTTTTTACACATCAATTAACATGAAGAAAACATGATGAAATCTGCCATGAAATCATGAAAACCAGAAATATGTCCATAATAATATTTGATCACTGGTGTATGTTGAGTTAAATTTGAGACATAATTGACTGTGATCGTTTAATTTGGCCCTCTGGCAAGTGAGGATTAAATGAATGTGGCCCTTGCTGTCACCCATCCCTGGTCTAGTTTTTATACCAAGTCCAGACTACTACAATCCTCAGAACGCAAGTCAATGCGTCTTATGTTTCTTTGTCTTCTTTCAAACCCAATACTCTTTAATGTTATGTTAAAACATTACATCTGAAGCCCAGGTGTCATCTCAATGATGCTACATGAAATGTTTGTATAATTGTATTGTACTGCTGTTAAAATAACAGGCTTAATCATTCAAATCGTGTCCTGATCTTCATGTGTGAAATTGGTTAAAAATGTAAATGTTGTACATTTTGATATGATTACAATGTTGATTTGGAATTTTGGTGTCCCAGTTTAAAACCAACTCAGTCTTTTACTAAAGGTAGACGTAGCTGTGAGACCTTTGATCTATTTTTAAATACTTTAGGATTCAACCACTTGTACTTAACATCAACCCTCCCTCCCCATCACAGGAGCTCGTGGATGACCTGTATAATTTCAGAGATTGCTATTTTGAGTCGCACAGTGAGGAGGAGGCTGGGAGAAAACAAAGCGACGTCGCACAGGAGACAGAAAAGACACTGAAGAAGCTGGAGGAGAAAGAAGGTGAGCGCTGCACTTACACAATTACAGTCCAGACTTCAATTTGAGATTGGATATCAATTAAGCCAACTGTCCCTCTTGTGTTTCTAGATGATTTAAAACACAAAGCAGAGTTTCTGCTGCTAAAGGGCAGGTGTCTGAATGTAGCTCCTGACTTCAGTGCTGTAGCAGAAGAGTGCCTTTCCCGCGCTGTGAAGCTGGAGCCGGGCCTGGTGGACGGCTGGAACACATTAGGGGAGCAGTACTGGAAAAAAGGAGATCTGATTGGTGCTAAGAACTGCTTCACTGGAGCCTTGCAACAGGTAAAGAGACAAGAAAGTGAGGGTGACATGTTTGGTTTTGAACACATCAAAGCTACATTTTCTTGTCAGGCGTGTGTCTTTGACGTTGAAAAGCACAAACAGTAAATTAACTGAAATCGTGACGCATGTTTGTTTTTTTTAACAATTCACTCATGCGACTTTGCTTATCTTCCACCTTGGCAGAGTAAGAACAAAGTGTCTCTTCGTAACCTGTCCATGGTGCTGAGACAGCTGCCAGCAGTGGACAGGGATGCGCATGGAAAGCAGGTTATGGAGAGTGTTGACATGGCCAGACAGGCGGTGCAGCTGGATGTTACAGACGGGATGTCCTGGTGTGAGTAGAAGAGCGCCTGGGTTCTTCTTAGTAAACAGATAATATGACTGCAATGAGCTGTTGAAAGTATTACTGTTTTCTGTCTGCAATGAGGGAGCTGTTTGTTTCACATCGTTAGAATAAAGTTCAACTTAATTATCCAATCTAGTATGTCAACGACAAAATATTAGACTTTTTAGAGCGTGCATAGGCTTATATCTGTGCAAGCAATTAGACATATTGCTCCACAGATTTCAAAATAAAAGCTTAGACTGTGGCACTTCATTGGCAGCATTTAATATCTGTATCATCCAAAAATGTCATTCTAAACTAAAAATAATCAAGTTTGTAAAACACGAGGGTAAAGAGTTTTCAAAGTCAGAATAATTTATATAAAATTACACACTATATATATATTATTGCAGGTCTATTATTTTTCTCTTTTTGATGTTTAATTTCTAATACAATCTTCTTCTTTTGTCTTATTATTATAAATGTTAAAGAAAAAATTGTAAGAACCTTTTTTATGAAATATTAATAGAGAGTATGCTCACTACTGAGTTGATTTCTGCCTTCAGAAATCCAACACTCAACATGTAGAGTGGTTTGGTTTACTGTGGTCTGATCCATTATGTTTGTGGCATTTAAAAGGTTAATCGTCAAACAAATATGAGTAAAGGTTAACTGCAATAGGAGCAGCGATTTAAGTATTTATATGAATCCTCATTCTCTCTCAAATATATTGTCATCAATGTATAAATATTTTTGTATTTGTTCCAGATATCCTGGGAAATGCTTATGTGTCCCTGTTCTTCTCATGTGGTCAGAATCCACAGTTGTCTCAACAAGCTTTAAGTGCCTACGCACAATCTGTGAGTATTCAGCATTAAAAATGTTTGATGAAGTCCACCAGCACTAATCCCACCGATTGGACTAGTGTTTACTTGCCTCTTTCCTGTCTGCAGGAGAAAGTGGACAGAGCTGCCTCCTGCTACCCAGAGTTGCATTTCAACAGGTCCACTCTGTTCCAGTACGAGGAGATCTTCGGCTCGGCGCTGGAGGGCTACAGCCGAGCAGCGGCACTCGACCCTAGCTGGGAGGAGCCTCCGGAGAGAGAGAAGCAGCTGCTTGAGTATCTAAGGAAAGTCACAGAGCTCATACAGAACAAGGTAGGATCACATTCACGGCATACTGTGTTGTTTTTAAAACTTGTGTAATGATTATATAACAGACAATACTTACAATTATACTGACTTAGAAACAATTGAATAAGGTTCTAAAGGCAAAAGTACAAAATGTAACATTTTTGTGTCACCTCCACATACTTCTAGTGTTTCCACATTGATTGTGAGTCAGTTGAGTCGTAGGATCGGCTCTGATTTTACGTCACTAAATAACTGACACAATTTTGGAAAACATTGAAGTTCAGCTTTGAAGAAAGAAACTCAACGTGGATTTTAGAAAACCAAAACCAGTCATGGATTCAACATTACAAAAAGATAGAAAGTAATGATATTGTAGCAAATTGCAACAAGGTCATGAAGAGGTAATGTAAAAATGTAAGACAAAAACTGGAATTAACAAAATATACTTTTTTTTACACTTTTTTAAAAATAAGAAATTTATTTAAGTATAAATATGAGTATTTTTCTACTTTTGTAATCAACTTGCCAAATTTAGATTTAATATAATATAATATAATATATATATATATATATATATATATATAATTGTTTTAGTTGAAGTATACAATTTTATGGTATACCTTTTTTTACAAAAAAAGATCTACTACTCCACCACTAGATGGCAGCACTATCTTTTGATCATCCCTAACCATCAGTGTGTCCATCTTTTCAGGGGAAGGTGAAGGCTCGTCGGTTACGGACGATGCTCTCCACCCTCAACACCTCAGCGTTGGGCCCCTGCTCCTCCCCTCAGTTCCGCTCCCCAACAGGCCGTGTTGGCAGCCTGGAGCCCAGAATGCTTTCCTCCCTCACGCACGGTCTTCACCCTGGGGAGGCCGCTCTGGGCAAGGTGGTGTTCAGCTTGGCCACTGAGGGTCGCATGGCCTTGTGAGTGCAACTTTATCTACTGAACTTGCTGGTTTGAGGTGGAGAAACGCCTCTGGACTTTTTGAGTGGTGTTGTAAAAAAAACTTTGTTTCTGCAGCACGTTCGGTATGGTGGACAGCGAGGAGACGTGTATAGTGGTGATGGTGTACAACACTGCGGACAGCTGGGGCGTCCTGATAGGAGATACTGTAGTCATTCCTGAACCTCAGGTCAAACGGAACAGCATAACCCATAAAGATGAGGTCAGTGTGTCTCTTTGCTGTTCAAATGTGCAAAGAAATGTCTTTCTAAATGCTATAACTTTTATATTTCCTCTGTCTGGCAGTCGTTCGACTTCCGAAGTATAAGAGTGGACTCTCCTCTGCTCCTCATTGTCAACGGGAAGAAGCAAAACGTCCACAGTCAGATTGCTGCCTCCGTCAGCTACAAACCACAGAGCGAATGAGCCCGACAACAAGCAAGAGGACCAAATTTTGAATTTGAACACAAGTTTGGACACTAATGGAGGTGTTAAGTTTCTAAAGTTTGTGCCGGTTTTATGTGATGTCCTGTAAATAGATTTCACCCCGTGTCTTTGTATGTAGGGAGACACTTTGTTTATATTTATAAATATTTCTTTTTGTATTATTTTAAGGAGACAACAACGAGTTCATGGAGAAATAAAGAAACCTGGGAGGATGAGAGTATTCTGTCACAATGATTACTTCTGTTTACACTGATAAAAACCCTTCTGTCTCAACCAGATTTCTTTTGTGTGGTGTTTTAAAAACACAGACAGCTGACATGTTTACCGGTCTTAAGTAGGAAAGCACAGGTGTTATTAATATTATAATCCTAATATTCATTTATCTATGTAAGCTGTAACAAAAAGGTTGCATGTATAAACCCAGACCCTGAAACTGAAACTTCATTTGTTAGATTAGATTGACTGTAATTTTCATAATTGCTTTTCCAAATGTGATGACATATAACAATGTCATATGTCTTTATGAAAGTGTTTATTTAGAACTACACTAACTACACAGGGGATTTTGGCACATTTTTTTTAGGGCGCTACCCACACGTTTAGCTGTGTTGCTCAATTCACGAATGCACGATCCTTACAAGTTATACCTCGTTGTAAAAGTGACTAATCAGGCTTTCCAACGCTATAAAATACAACACCAATTAGTATTATTAAAGTGGTGAAATAATTGACCAAAATAATGTTTCCAAACTTTTTTTGAGGAGTTTATTTTAAAAGATAGGTTTCGCTATTTTACAACCCTGAAAATATAATTATTCATCATTTCATTCATATGTTAGCTGTGTCGGAAGTCAGAAGAAAGCATTTTCTGTGGTTTGATTGCCTGAAAATATGCATTTATTGTCTTTTAGGGTTAAGGTTGGGCTCATCACTTACCCAAACCCCTGAAATTAAGCATTTAAGATATAAACCAGACATGAGAATTACTGGAGAAACATGGCACTGATAGTGACTCAAAGTCCTTCAAAGTTGTTTTAATAAAAAACTAAAGCTAAATCCGACACAATCTCACAGGAGTTTGTGATAAATAGTTAGTGACTAACACAATATGTTCACTTCAGTGGATACCAAAATGAATACTTACATCTTTTTATTTCAATCCTTTTTAAGTCAAATTTTGGTTACGCTGAAAAATTGCGACAAATGCCCCCCTCACCCAAATCAACACGAACAAGCCACCTAAATCTTTAAACCATAGAACACTGAAAAAAATGAATGTATGGATAAATAGTGAGAACAGAGAAGTGAATATGCCACATTCTGTATACAAGCCGCTGCTGTCTCAGTTCTTCTTTATGAGCGGTCGGCCTCAATCTTGGGCTGGGGAGCTGAACTGGAAGAAGGTTTTGGCTCCGTCAGCCTCCAGGCAGGAGAAGAATCTACTGTCCCCATCTAGACCCAACGAGAGGAACTGAGGGCTTCTCTGGGGAATGGCCTGCCGAGCCAACCCTTGGTGACACACAAGGGGTTGATGGATGTTTCTCATTGTTCAAACAGATCAAAATTCCTTGACATAGACAATCAGCTCATTACTCCTACTGTTCCTTCTGAGTGGCCCCTTCTTCTTTACAGACACCTACAGCTGTGTTTTTAACATCATTCTTGCTGTGCTTCCTTCCTGCTCTCATTAATAAGTGAGCACCACACTGCTGATTTAACAACACCCTTAAGTTCTCAGGAAAACCACTTAAATATCTGTCACATGTTCAATGAATTTAAGTGATACTGTCAGCAGATTATTGGTGTTTTAATTAGAAGCTTACTTCTGTTCTTGTCAAGTGTATTTAGTATTTAGTGTGTATAATTGGCTGCAACACATGATCATTTCTAGTATTGACTAAAAAATGGTCTAATTAATCAATTGAGTCCTGTTTTAGTCTGGAACATTCAGCAAAGATGCTGATTGTAGCTTTGCAGAGCGCAAAGTTACATTCTCATACTGCTGGATTTTTACTGAAAGGTATTGAGGTAACAAAAAGTTTGTCATAAACATCAACTTTGAACTTAAAAACAAAACTGTTTGCAAGCTTTTCATCGTACAAACACATTCCTCTACTTGAGCTGTTATCAGTTCTTGTTTTGTACAGCGCTTGTTTTAAACATTAAGAAAAAGTGAATTGAAGGAAAGAAATTAAGTGTATCATTCCCAACATCCACAAACAATCCACCTTCACCTATTTTAATGTAAAACATCAAATGTATATCTCCTGAACTAAAGGAGATCTGTACCTTTAAACCGGTAATGGAATTATTCTGATTTGAAATGGTCCTACCAGTGTTATAATCGTGATGTCCTGGCTGTGTCGGCCTTTCTCTTTCCCCCACCACCATGCTGCGCAGCCTCAGAGAGTCATACAGCCCCCGTAGTTTCTGGTACTGCCTGTTCCTTTCCATCAGCCTTTCAGACACCTCACCGTACTGCCTTTTATACTCCTCCATCACCTGAGGGAAAACACGTTTTAGACAATCATGGTTTTTCCCTTTAACTTGAATCACCAAATGTACCTACAAGTTAAGATTGTCAGATATTAATGCCAGTTAAATCACTTTCATTGTCTACATAAAAAACTGTGTTGTCAAATAGAATACTGACCAAATTATTACTGGTATATTCATCATGCTAATAGATAAAAGATTTAACTACCATTGTACAACATTTACTGCAGCTTCTTGTATTCTTACATCGTTTAAGGTTCAGAAAGAGGAAGAGATAATGACCATAGATGTTCCACTCTTTCATCCACCCCTTAAGGCCCTTAGTAAAATCTTCTCAATGGTTTTACAAATACAGCAAAGATTTAAAAACTGTTTTTAAGGCCTTATTCAAATGTTAATCACCACTTCAGTTTGAGAATTGTGGTTTACTTTCTTCTGGGAGGCGATTTCCCCTCTCATGGCGGTGAGCTCCAGCTCTCTGCTCTGATTCTGCTGGCTCAACATCTTCTCCAACTGCTTCAGCCGGACCGCCGCTCTTGAGAAACTGTACTCTTGATACATACGCTCCTGATGGACCTGTTTTTAAAAGAATAAACTGATGTTGCATGTTGAAAGGGGGCACTTTTGCATTGAACAGGTGCAAAGCTACATGTTCATACACATATAAAAGTATAAAATATGACCTGATAGCTCCAGAAGGCCAAAGCTCTGGCACTAATGTCCAAGACTATGTCAGGTCGCAGACCTGCCAGCACCATGGCTTTGTACTCCTCAGAAGGTGACAGCTCTGTTCTCACTATGTCCAGCTTCCCTGACAGCGCAGAGGAGCAGGCTGGACAGATGGCGGGGGAGCGGCTGAACTCACCGGACCCGTGCTGATCGCAGAAAGCATGCGAGCACGCTGTGACCCAGGCGAAGCCACTCAGCTTGGTTCGGCACTTTGGGTAGTTACACAGCAGTGTAACATCACAGACAGACATGGTCGAGGCTGAAAAGAACAGTGCAGTTTCATTAAAAAGTGAGGCAAGTGTGTTGTTTTTAAAACAATCACATACGTTTTGAGTTTTTCAGAGACCTTAACAATGGAAATAAAAAACACTTTGTTTGGCCTTATCACATACCACACTTGACATGACAGTTTAAGAAGGGTTCAAGAATGTTAGGCCTTTTTTCAAGACATATTGAAGCTGTCAGGTTCAGTGTGTAGACATTTTAAAGAATCTAGTTTACTGACTGAATGGGGCTATCAATGATTTTATTTGGGTACAACATCATGATTTATTAAGAACAACCTCTTCATTTTGATTCATGATGAATAATAAACTGTATAAAAAGTACATTTTGGGCTAACATCGCCCTTCAGTCCTTAAGAAAACCGAAATTACAAGCAGAAGAAACATTTAAATAGCATATTGTACTAATAGTTACACTAAATGTTCTCCGCCAAAACAATCAAGGATTTGATTTATGTCTGTTTACAACAAAAATAGCAGATTAAATATGAATTCTGTATGGTTGCCAATTCTAAAACTAATAACAATGAAATAACTTAATAAATAAATAACCTCATTTAAGTGTTTATGAGATTATTTCTTAGTAAATAAGCCTTGTAAAGCTAGCTTAATGCTACATCAACTGCCGTGAATATGAGCAGTTGGCTCAACTTTCTCCAAAGTCAATTTCCTCATTGTGAAGGAACACCTTTTGTTTTTAAAACCATATATTAGCGAAACTTGCACGGATACCTTAACCGGTTATTTTTCGTGAATTCGTTTTTTTTTTTTTTTAAACCTACCAGAAGGACTTCGGTGAGCAGCAGTTAGAGCTTTACACGCACCTTAATGACGTCACAGAATGGCAACGTAAAATTGCGTAAACATTTCGTCTTATATATAGATTTGTTTTAAAAAGAAATGTACCAACAACGTGTCTACAAATCTGCAATATCAGAAATCAGACATCTTGAAGCATATAAAAGGATATAGTTTATCTTTAAAGTGTCGCACTGCTAATTTACTTATCTTGTGAGTCTTCTAGTCATAAATATGACACTTTTCTACATTTAAATGTTCTATTTATTTGTTTAGATGAGGGCATACACTTTCTAAAGCAGCCCAGTTTAAAGAAAAACACGAGTTAGGCTATTTCCCCTCTGAAAATCAAAGTGGGTTACACCTTTTTTTTTCTTACGCAGCCTTTGAGTGGATACAGGCCTATAATGTGAGATACCTACTTAAATACCCCCCCCACACCACCTCCATCTTCCTCCTCCACCTTCCCCCCTTTTTCTCTCGCTCTCTTTTATCCGTTTCTCCACGTGGTACAGGAGTAAAGGCGGGGGGTGAAAGAGCGGCATTGTGCTTTGCAGCAGTGGATCCGGGGGTTCATAGTGAGAGAGGGGAGATGCTCACTCAACTGTGTCCAGCACGCCATTGTCAAAGATTCCCATCTATTCTCTGCCTTTTAAATAGAGCTCCAATGTAAGATGCTTTTTTTTTTGTGTGGGGCGAGTAAGAGGGGTGGGGGTATTATGCGCCTGGCGATAACACACGAAATACATGCATGCACATAGGAGGACTGTGTGGCCCCTCTTGCACACAGCCACTCACTGCAGTTTTGTTTATAATTGGCCCTATGCAAATCAAAGGCTGGCAAAATCGCCTGACAACTCACCCGTCATAATTATGTTGTATTATTTTACTTTTGCTGATTGACATCACCTGCCAGTCAAGCTTTTCGATTTTAATGTCATTATTATGCACTTTGCAAGGAATACAAAAAAAAAAAAAAGGTGCAGTTCACTTGGTGGTCTTTAAAAGAAATCGATAAGTCACCTCCTGTGAGACTTAGTTAAGACACGTTATTGCATAGTTTGATTAAATTCACTTCAAGTAATGATTTAGGCCTTTATGTTCCCAAAAGCAAATTGTCAGATCCATTCAAATGTGTTTTGGGGATCCAATGGCTTTGACACCTAATTGTCATGTTTTAATGAAAGTATAGGCTGTCTAGTTGCTGCGAGAATGTTTAAAGAAAAACTAAAGCTGGAGAGAAAGAGAGAAGCAGGGAGACTGTGTGTTACACGCCATTGAAATGCAAATATCATTGAAGAACAAGGAGTGGTTCTGTGTGTGTGTGTGTGTGTGTGTGTGTGTGTGTGTATGATGTGTGTGTGTGTGTGTGTGTTTGTATGAGTGTGTGTGTTCCCTGTATGTGCATACAGCGGGGCAGCAGTGGGAGAGGAGGGGCGCAAATTTGGACAAGTTTTTTTGGGGAGAAGAGACTTTAGAAAAGCCACACACGCGCTCTCTGTGGCTTCATATGACACGGTGCGACAGACCTGCGGATTTCCCAACACCTTTCTTTATTTTTGGAGTTTATTACATTCAAAAGTCATCATACAGGTAACTTTGAAATTTCCCGTCTAATCCAAGGGGTTGCTGAAGTTTCGAAGTTTGGATGGTTTCAGGAGCGCTTTCTCAGTGCGCAAAAACGTGCGTATGGTGCAATTCAACCGACTGATGCCCCCCACTCTGTCTGACTCGCCGTGAATCATGTCACGCCGGAAGCAGAAGCGACCCCAGCATCTCGTTAACGCGGATCCGGGGGGCCCAAGGTTGCTATCCAACGGTGAGTAAACATCTTTACGAATGTGCATGCCTTTTTATCTTTGGGAATTCTTCAGAGAGGGATCCTGCAACCAGATCGCGCCAATCTATGCATGGAGAATTCTCTTTAGGCCATAACATTTTCATACATATTCATAGAACTTTGGTTCGAATTTAGATTTGCATTCAGAGAATGGTTCCGTATCGCTGATTTCTACCTTTTTCACAAATGCATTTATGCATGGCCACATTCCTACAAAATGTACCTGATTTGATTGATCGGAATTAAAATGTTTGAGTTTGTCAAGTAAAGAACACCCCCCCCCCCCTTTGTCATTCACTGTAATGGGCCCGACTAAATGGAGGCCTAAGGCAATTTGGTCGGGGCCAATAAAACTTGTCCCTCTGAAGTGAATAGAGTAGGATTAACTAACATACATCAGTGGCCATTTTCATGAGCTGTTCGTCCTCCAGGAAACCAACAGGCTGCTCAGCGCTGACTGCTGGAGGTCTTTGATAAGTATAGAGCACTCTCTTATTTGTAAACAATAAGGTGCATGGGGGGTGGGGGGCTGTGTTTTTGGTGAAGATTAATCTTCCACCCTTCTATTCTCTTCCCCTTTTACCCTAAGTCCATGCCTTACTCTCCTATGCACCCCTCTTTCCCCTTTTTCACATTCTCAGTACTTCCCTCCCCCCTTTCTTTCTCCCTTGTTCTTGCCCCCCAACCCTATTGACTGTATACCCTACACACTTGGTCTCCTCAAACAGGGGGGGGGGGGATTGAGAATAAAAGTATTCAGAGGGCAAAGAGAGATTGCTCCTGCACTTGTTCTGAAATGCAAATATTCAAACCAGCGCACCAGTCTTTGTACAGGTACAAATGAAAGTTTACTTCAGGAGATAGTTTTTGGTTCCCGGCATGTGAAAGTTTGTTTAGAAGTCACAAAAAGGAATTTCACAGGTACAGTCTTTCATTCCATCACTATATCTCTCCAGGAGGGAATAGTAAGTCTGTTCATTGTTGTTACCCTCCCCCTTCTTTTTCTTTTTACTCATTCTCACTCTGTGCTCAAGATTCTGAAAGAATTTGACCCCTGGGCTGCAGAGGTCAGATTAGTTGACCAATCAGAGTGTCTGGACAGTGCCCAGAACCCTTAGCATGGCCTGACCCTTGACCTCCACTGTGACGTAAGGGGGGAAGGGTGAATAGGGAGATGAAAGACGTAACTGCAGTAAGGAGGGGGTGGGTTAAGAGGGGTTATGGGGTTGTCTTGGTGATGCCCATTGTACTCTAAAATGTGTTGCCATAGCAGCAAGGTGGCCTGTAAGCTTTTTTGTGTGTGCAAGATGTTTGAGTAGTTTTGCTCCGTAGAGCACAGATTGAGACAAGACATGACAAAGACTCATAGACTGCAGAGTATCGTCCACTTGTTTGTCTTCTTCTTGTCCAAAGCCATTCAGGACCCTTTTTGGAATCACAGGATCATTTGGTTTGCATACCAATTTTGCAAAGAACCTTTGTAAACAATAACTGGAAGCAATGAAATAAACATAATCTAAATGAAGCTAAATGTTTTGAGTAATTTACACACCTGGATATTTTTTTTTTTACTGATATTGTAAATTTGAAATGTTATAATAATGTCCCTTTAAAGGAACAAATTGAAAAGTTTTAGTCTTAAATATTTTACTTTGCTTTGTCATCCTCAGAAGAACACCTGGGCATGAAGTCACCCTCCATGTCTCTTGGCTCAGAAGTGACCTCATCAGGATCTTCCTCCTCCTCCCCCACCTCTCTCCAAGATTGCCAGCCGCCTCTGGCCCCTCGCCCATCCCCTGGTGGGCTCCACGCGCCCTCCTTACCCAGCGAGAGCTCGCCTCCTCCCCACTGGCCCAGCCACATTGCCCCCTTCACCACCTCCCTCCCAAACACCCACTCCTCCCTCTCTCCAGACTTTCCTCACCCCTCGCTGTCATCACAGACTCACTCACCTCTTCCCATTGGTCAAACCTCAGGTTCCCACAACCTGGCCCACCAAGGAAACTCTCACTCCACCATGACCTCCCCGGCGATGGGCAGCTCAGCCACAACCACTACCTCCTCCTCTTCATCCTCCTCTTCCTCTCAGTGTGTGCCACCTCACCACGAAAGCTTGAGCCCAGGCCAGCAGCAGAACCTCGGCTCTCCCGGAGAACAGGGACAGATCCAGGTTCCGCCAACCTTGGCTGTACTGCTTGAGGAGCTGAGGGTTTTACAGCAAAGGCAAATCCACCAGATGCAGATAACAGAGGAAATATGTAGGCATGTTCTAAGGCTTGGAGGAGCTGTCTTTGGTCAAGTTAATAACACACAGTCAAGTAGTGCAGACACCAACCAGAGGTCTACAGGAGCTGCATCATCATCACCAACACACCCCTCCACTGCCACACCAATGACCACAGCATCATCGCTGTTGAGTGGCCTTCAAACTTCCCTCTACCACCACTCATCCGTTCCCAAATCAGGTGCTTCAAATGTCAATGGTAGCAGAGCTACATCCTCCTCTACCTCTTCCTCATCTCTTGCATCTTCTATCAGCTCCTCTGTTGCTTCCCTGCATCCTCTGTCCTTGTCACTGGGTTTGCCACCACGTTACCTCCATGAGAAATCATCCAACAACCCCTCATTTGGTCACAGCAATGGTATCAGTTTTCCAACTCCTCCCCTTCCAACCACCAGCCTTTCCCAGGATCTCCAGCCTAGCTCCTCCTTGGGCTCTGCCTCCTCCGCAGGACGCCCTCAACACATGTGCCGTTTTTGTGGGAAGGTGTTAAGCAGTGATTCATCACTTCAGATCCACCTGAGGTCACATACAGGTGAAAGGCCCTACCAGTGTCCAGTCTGCTTAAGCCGGTTTACAACCAGAGGGAACCTCAAAGCCCATTTTCTGCGTCACAGAGAGCAGAACCCTGAGCTGTCCCTGTCACTGCTACCCCCTGCACTGTCAGAGCAAACCCAGAGTGGCCCTTCTTCTGGTGCCATCCAGAGAAGGAGAAAACGACGGGCCGATGAAGATGAGTCATTTAATGGAGTGAAAGGCAGCATTCCTGGGGTGCCAGATAACATGGCTTTAGGGTTCCTGTCTGGTGCATCTACTCGGCCTTCAAATTCCTCCTTACCTCTGCCACCATCAGTGGACATGGCATTGCTGTCCACTGCCCATTCCTTGCTACAGCTGAACAGAGCCTCAGCTGCA